ATCTCCAATGTCTCATCAGAGGAGAATGATGAAGCCAGTTTCTTGATCTTGTCCTATAATCTTAGCTAAAAATCATCTGATTCTCAAGGAACTCTGATTGTCACCTGGCTTTCCTTTTACCATTGCATCTTGACTGCGTGAAACGTACGAGCATGAGCAGGCTATTCAACGTCTGAATTGTCCAAATATTCCATTCAATGTATCAGATCTGAACCTCAACTCCATCCAATTTGTCCTGATTCCATATCCATTGACACCGTGGCTTGATATCTTTATACATGAGTATGTGGCCCCGGGTTGTATTTTGTTCATTCATGGTATTTGGGTGCACTAGTTGCCCCTTCATGAGAAGATGATGAGCTGCCTTCTTGGATTGCTGTAGTCCATGTGCTGTAGGTAGACCCACAGCGCAGATAGGGAGGCAATTACAGGATTTTGACCCAGCAACAGTGAAGGAGCGGTGATATATTTCCAAGTCAGGATGGTGAGTGTCTTGGAGGGGAGTTTTCAGGTGTTGGTGTTCCCATGTTTCTGCTGCCCTTGTCCTTCTAGATGGTAGAGGTAGCAAGTTTGGAAGGTGCAGTTGACACAGCCTTGGTGAGTTCCCACAGGGCATCTTGTAGGTGGTACACGCTGCTGCTACTGAGCATCGGTGGTGGAGGGGGTGGATGTTGAAGGTGAAGGATGGTGTATCAATCAAGTGGATTACTGTGTCCTGATAGTTTCTAGATTCTCCACCAATGGCAATAATTTCTTTGTACCTATTCTATAGAAAGTTATGTGGGGTAGTGGGTAGTGTCCCTGTCTGTGAGTCAGAAAGTCCTAGTTTGAGTCCCATTCTAGGACTTGATGGCTAAGGAAGGTGCATTCATAAGAGACCAAACAGGTTGAATTTCAGTTGTGTAAGTCTTTCCAACACATACCAAAAGCAGGAGCTGAGAACGGGCTGGAGGGATTCCTGGTCAACCACCGGTCAGAAAGAAATTGGAGCCTCTTCCATCACTATTCTTAGCTCCAGCCAAGGGTTCTTGCAGTGCAGTGGTAGTACCCTCACCTCTGGACCAGGACACCTAGGTTGAAGTCCCACTTGCTCCAGAGGTGTGTGATAACATCTCCATTGATCCGAACTGCTAGGTGCAGGTAAATGTGCACGTTATCAGACTTGAGTGAACTGTGACACCACACGCACACACTTAGCCACCACAATTAGCTCATGTTTCCCAATCTGCTATACTTGATAGAATGGCCAGTTTCAAAAATTGATGTCAAACCATTGCTGAAATAGAGGATTGCAAATTGTTGTATGATTTCCTCTATGATGTGTCCCACACATCTCAAAAAAAGAAGGTCAGTTCCTCGGGTAATCCCAATCCCTTGTACCCTGTTATAGTTTCTCAGCCATTTATTTTGCTGCCCAATCCAGATAGGCCATTCTTTCTCACAGGGTGAGACAGACAATATTCAAATGTAGTAAAGTTGTTGCACTCTTTCTTCTGTATAAACACAGCTTCAAATCCGTTGCATGTACCACTTGTTACTTCACCTTTAGTTAGCTAGCTATTAAAGAGGCTTCAAATCATCTGGTTTAGCCAGTGATGTTTCTACCAGTGGTAACGGAGCAACGGACAATAGAGTTGCTGGTGGCAATCACTTGTCGAAAAAGTAGATTTGACCTCCACGAGCCAGTTTGGATTATCTAAAGGGATCAGGAGAAATTTTCCAAACCCTTTGTTTTTGAAGCTGGCTGGAGTTTTAAATCTGCTGTCTATTGGGTCTCCCAAAAGATCAAGTGTCTTTGTGTAAGGTGAGGAGTGTATGCAGAGGATAACCCTGGGTGTGGGATAGTCTGGATGGGCCAAATGTTTCCTGTCAGGTATATGTTTGAGAGGTCATAGAGAGCAGCCCAGACATGGCAGCCATGTTCTTTCACAGCAATTGAACTGCTCCAGGCCTTGTACCTCACGGGCAAGATCATTCCATTCATTATTCAACGCCTCACCAAGAAAGATAGATACCAAATCTACAGGCAAAAGCCAGGTGCGAGGGAGGAAATTACTTTGAAAAGGAAGTGAGTTGCTCTGAGGTAAACAAAGGTCTTTGTTCTTGTTCCTCTTTGAGAGCGTTTGTTCTATAGGGGCGTGGGATGCATTGCCGGAGAGGGTAGTGGAGTCGGCCTCATTAGGGGCATTTAAGCGGCTATTAGACAGGCATATTCTCCCCGTGTCTGCGTGGGTTTCCTCCGGGTGCTCTGGTTTCCTCCCACGGTCCAAAGATGTACAGGCCAGGTGGATTGGCCATGCTAAATTGCCCATAGTGTCCAGGGATATGTAGATTAGGTGGATCATAGCGGGATGAGTCTACGTGGATGCTTTGAGAGTTGGTGTGGAGTTGTTGGGCCGAAGGGCCTGTTTCCACACTGGAAGGATTCTATGACTATTCTATGAGCGTAATGCAATCCAAGAAGGTTGAACCATTCTGATGGAAGTACAGTCATCACAATAAAGGTACACGGTGGATTTCTGTTTATCTTTCAACATACTTAGCCATTTATCACCATGAGATTTGTAAAGACTACATCAGACTTGCATTCCATTCTGAGCCACCGCATTCCTGGGTCATTGTAATTGGTTTCTGGTGTTGTACAATGTGGATCTTTTTGATGAGCTGGAGAATTCCAGCTCTGAGGAGAGATTAGAGGTTGTTTTCTTTGGAACTCAGGAAGCTGAGAGAAGAAATAATTGAGGTGTATAAAATTCTGAGCGGCTTAGATAGAGTGGGTGGGATGGACTTATTTCGATTTACAGAAAAGGTCAATAATCAGGAGCCATAAGCTTAAAATAATTGATGGAAGGTTGACCGGGGAGAAGAGGAGAAGTTTGTTCACCCAGAGATTGGAGCAGATCTAAAGTTCACTGCCTTAAAGGATGAGAATTGAAGAATCTCAGAAATGATTTCCAAGCTCTTTGTTTTCCAAACTAGCCTGGGCTTTTAATCTGCTACTTTTTGGCTCTCCCAAAAGATCAAGTAGCTTTGGGAAAAGATTAGAATAAGTTTAGACCCATGGGATTAAAATAGTTAGGTGCTTGCTTTAGACAAATGCAGATCTGATGGGCTGAAGGGCCTTTTTCTGTGCTGTAGACCTCAATGACTCTAAGACACTGGGATATGAACTTGATGCCTCACAGAGTTACAGTGTGGGTTTCCTCTGGGTGCTGGGTTTCTTCCCACAGTGCAAAAATGTGAAGATTAGCTGAATTAGCCATGCTAAATCACCCATTGTGACCAGGGATGTGCAGGCTATGTGGGTTAGTCATGGGAAATGGGTGTTAAGGGGATAGATTAGAGGGGTGGGTCTGGGTGGGATGCTGTTCAGAAGGATAGTGCGGACCTGATGGGCCGAATACTGTAGGAATTCTATCTATCTATCTACCTATTAGACCAAGAACTGGAAAGTGGGATAGGTTGGATAGGATGTCGGCTTTTTGCTGATAAGCAAGGTAGGCTAAATGGCCTTCTTCTGGACTGTAAACGTTCATGTTTCTATCAACTACCCAATAATTCTCTCCTCATCTCTCGATTTTGGGGTTTGGCAGATTGTTTATGAGAACCAGCTTCGTGGAATGGTGTTCATTAGCCAAGTGGGCGTGGGAATGGAGAGTTTGGAGGCGGGCGGTTTCAATGTATCCCATCTTCTGTACAAATCTTTCCCCCTCCACCCTGGATCCATCCTTATGGAGCACCCTCTCTGCCAGTAGTGATCCCTATGGATTTCACTTTCCAGTAGACAAACAGGTGGACTTCAGCCACTGAATGTTGAAATGCCAAAGGATGGATCAATTTCAAGCTTTGTCGTACAAGATAATAGTGAAGTAAATACATTGGAGGTGGTTTACTGGAATGAGTGGTTTGTCATCTGAGGAGGAGTTGAACAGGTTGGGCAGGTTCCACTGGAGTTTAGAAGAGTGAGGGGTGATTTGATTGAAGTTTATAAGATACTGAATGATCTTGACAAGACGGATGTGGGAGTGATGTTTTGTGGGTGGGGTCCAGACCATGCGCTCTGTTTTAAAATCAGGAGTTGTCCTTTCAGGACAGGTCTCTTCTGGAATACTGTGTCCAGATCTGGCTGCCCTGTCATAGGAAGGATATCACTTAGCTGGAGATGATTCAGAAGAGATATACCAGGGTTGCTGGTAACGGAAGGTTTGACTTATAAAGAAAGGTTGGATAGGCAGAAACTTCTCTTGCCGAAGTGTAGGAGTTTGAGAGGTGACCTGATAGAAATTTATAAAATCTTGAAGGGTATAGATAGGGATAATGGTAGTTGTTTTTGCCCTAGGATGGGGGGTTTCAAGACTAGAGGGCACATTTTTAAGGTGAGAGGAAAAAGATTTAAAAAAAGATGGGGGCAGATTTTTTTACACAGAAAGTGGTTCACGTGTGGAATGAACATCCTGAGGAAATGGTGGATGTGGGCACAGTTACAATGTTCAGAAGACATTTGGCTAAGTACATGAATAGAAAACGTTTGGAGGGATATGGGCCATGGGCAGGCGGGTGGGACTAGTTTGGTTTGGGATTATGGTCGGCATGGACTGGTTGGACCGAAGGGTCTGTTTCCATGCTGGATGACTCTATGATAGAGATGAAGAGAATTCTTTCTCAGAGGGTTATGAGATTTTGCTTCAGAAGGCGATGGAGGGGGGGTCATTGAATGTCTTAAAGGGAGAGAGATGAATATCTATTTCCTGTTTAGCAGGGAAATCGAAGATTATCAGGCTAGTTTGGGAATGAGGTATTCAAAACATAAACATATCAGCCATGATCATACTGAGTGGCGAGTGGCCTCAAGTGGATGAAAGGCTGCACACCCTCCTATTCAAATGTTTGTCGTGTAGACTGGACAAGCCAGGACTATTCTCTGTAAGGAAGATGTTAACTGCAGAATTAACAAAGGTGTTCATAATTCTGGAGAGTTTGGATGGAGCACCTAAGGAGAAATGGTTTCCACTGGTTACAAGGTCAGTAACCAGAAGATGGAGAATTAAGACGATTGGTAAATCCATAAGATGTAAGAGCAGAAGTAGGCCATTCAGACCATCTGGTCTGCTGTGCGATTCAACGAGATCATGGCTGATTTGTTAATCCTCAAGAGCCTGAGGGAACGATGAAGAATGTTTCTTTAACGCTGTAATCAGGAATACACTGTCTGAAAAGATGATAGAAGCAGGTTCAACAATAACTTATTGAAAAAGGAATTCGATTGAAAACAACTTGAAGTCCTGGCCGCTGGGGCTGAGTAAATTGAACAGCTCTTTAACAGAATTGTTATGGGAAACAATGGGCCAGAAGCCCTCAAACGTGTTGGAAGGTTCCATGATTTGATGAGTGTCGGAGCCTCGAGTAACCATGAACCCTCCCACCAGCCACCACGCCACCTCCTTTGAGGGGGGAGTTTCATTCCATGGACAGAAATTCAGGGCGGTGCTCTCGCCGATTTCCGACATGGGTCAGATACTTTCACAGAGACAAGCTTGGAGTCAGAGCCCTGGAGGAATGCTCCCATCCAGCAGTGTGTAAGTGTATCTGTTTGGGACATGTGTGAAATGAGAGTTGTAACTGTCTGTTCCTTTCGATTCCCAGTATGTTATTATTCCGACTCGTCGCTCATTGGCGGAGGCAGTGCAGATAACCATCTGCTATGCTCTGGGGGATGCCAGCAGCTCCTACATCATTGGCAGTGTGAGTACCAACCACCTTCTCACTTGCAGCCTGGCCTCAGTTCCAGTGTGGACAACGCAGGGAGCTCAGAAACACGACCTGACTGGCGATGAGTGACATCTGGCCTTTCACAGGTTGAGGCAGCTTCGTAGCTCGGGGACTGCTGCACTGTCAGAAAGACCTCTCTCAGCAGGAGGTAGGGTGTCTCATGACACTAATCCTAGAATAACAGGGGGTAGTTCTCCCAGCCAATATTTACCCACCAACCGGCACACCATGTTAACAACTATGACATTTCTGCACATTATTTCATTGTGGTTTGTGGGATATTGCTGTGCACCGTCCCGTTATGGTGACTGTAAAACACTTATGGGGTGTCCTCGGACTTAATTACTTGTGCCAAGGTCCCTTTGGCACCTACACATGGCGCATGCTGCTGATGGCTGGGGAGGCGCGGAAGGACATCCTAGTTTAACCCTCCCTGAGCCAGGGCAGCTGCTGAAATGCTGCCAGTCAGGAAGAGAAGGGCAGTTTTGAAGATATAGGTGAGAAAATGAAGAACGCGAAAAGCAGTGGCGCCTTGTTGATGCGATTTATCCCGTGACTTATTGAGAGAATTTGTTAATGGAGGGGGATGATGGATTTTTGGTATTGTGAGGCTGGCAGGATGATGAAGTTAAGGCCAGAATGGGATGAGCCGTGATGGTGTTGAATATGTTTGTGGTGTGTGATTTGAGAGTGTGTTGTTACGGGCAGTGTTAGTGTTGTAGTTTGTGTCTGTGAGAGCAGAGAGAAGGAGATTAGGTTGGCGAGCAAGAGGAAAGGAATAGTGCGATATAAATTTGTGCCTGCAGTTAAATGCTGTAAAGCAGAGAAGAGAATGAAAACTGGAGTAGGTGTCTACAAGGAGTCAGAAATGCAGGTAGGAGGTGCCTACGGCCATACTAGTCTGAAAACATGTGATCTTGGAAAGTAAGCAGACTCAGGCCTGGTTAATACTTGGATGGGAGACCGCCTGGGAATACCAGGTGCAGCAAACTTTTGCAGCCACCAGAGGCTGCCCGCAGCTCTGCACTCTCACACTCCCATTCATCAAGCAACGTCCTTTTAACTGCTTGCTCATTCGCTCCGTCTGCCTGTCTCTTTCACTTTTGCTTCCTGCAGTGAAAGCAGTGCTATCCCTACAATAGCTTGTTCTCCTTTGCATGATGTCCTCCGCTGTATGTGCATTCTGTCCTTTTCTTCATGATTATTGTGTCCTTTGTGCCTGGACTATCTGACATGACTCCTCAGATGCTGAAGCAGTGCTGCACAAGTACAACGGCATGTCGGACAGTATCCAGACTTGGGCTGACAAGTGACAAGTAACATTGGCACCACACAATTGCCAGGAAATGATCATCTCCAATAAGAGACCATCTCACCACCCGACCCCTGACATTGAATGCTGTTACCAGCAGTATTCATGTAAGGCCTGGTCTGTTCTAACATGATACTGTAATCACTGGTGGGATGTGGGGGTGACTGGCTGGACCAGCATTTCTTGCCTATCTCTAGTTGCCCTGGAGAAGGTGGTAACTGAGCTGCCTTCTTCAGCCACTGCAGTCCGTGTGCTGTGGGTGACCC